GAAATTTAAGCCCTTATTTAGTTCATGAAAAAGTTTTCACAAAAAGTGCTACAAAGATTCATCACATCGAATCTTGCGACACGCGTGCTTGAAAGATTAAAATGTAGACGAAAAAAAACTAATTACATGCTTTTAGTTGAAAATTGCGATACTTAACGCTTTTGAGCCTAATTAGTCCATAATTAAATAATAATTATTAAATAAAAACGAAAATACTACCATACCAAATTTTCAACTTTTCACGAACTAAACGAGGGCTAACGTGAACTAAACATGGCCTAACACTCTGGTCCCCACGTCAACGGGCGCCCAGGTGGACCGCACATGTCAGTTTGAGACCCGTTGGGGATGTCTCACCGACCAGTCCAATACGTACGGGGCTGCTGGTCGCCAGCGCGGGCCGTTCCTTCCCTTCCCGCTGCGTGAGGCTCGGGGCGCATTTACGCAGCGGCCCTTTGCTTTGCTGGTATTCACGCGATCATGCTCGAGGTTAGAGCAAAGAGAGGCGTGCTAATCACACGGAATCGGCCTGCCAACCAACGATTTGTCGTTTCTACCAGCAAGAACATCCCTCCTCCCTTTGCTTCGTTGTGAAGAGACCTTGCTTTGAATTTTCTTGGTTGTTGGAGATGAAATCTAAGGCTTGCCTTTTGCATCTATTATTTGTAGTTCGTTATTTCCCATAGTCTTATAAAATTACACGAGCTATCCACGCTTGAGAAGGGGAACATGGCCACGCTTCACGTCCCCCATATTCCACGCCCGGAACGAGAATATTTACGTTCCCACCCACGTTATAAAATAACGCCCCAAGTTGTTTCCGCTTTAAGTGTTCATGTTCCTGCTTCCTCATGGGAACATGGTTGCTAAGGCCATATGCATGAGCAAGTTCATCAGGATGCATTTGGTATACTTGAAATACGAACATGATACCTATTTGACTCTGAGCACGGAACGATGAACACGGAGCCCCTATATCCATTCATGAAACAAAGATCAATTCATTCATCCTCGCTAGTAGGACCAACGGTTTGATTCATGATATGCTACTGTCCGCGGATGAGTGACCGAGAATCTATCACTATTTTTGTTGTTGTTTTAGCCTCTTTAAATGGGCTTCTCAAAAGTAGCTAATATTAGCCGGCTAATAGTTCAAGCTAGGTATTATTTGGATGCAAGAGCTAAAATGTTAATATATTTATGTTTTTTTTGTCTACAATGCTCTTCAACTTTTAGAGGCCCTAGCAGAGCATATAGATATAGATATGTGGGAGGGTAAAAGTAAGGTTATTAGCAGAGCATACAGATATAGATATGCGAGAGGGTAAACAATATCTTTTTGCATTTATTAGCTGGTATTAGAAGGATTAGATAGTTGTTAGCTAGGTGCCTAACTAACAATTAGCTGGTCTATTAGTGGTGCCTATTTAGATCCACCTTAGATAGTTGTTAGCTAGGTGCCTAACTAACAATTAGCTGGCTATTAGTGGTGCCTATTTAGATCAATCTTAGCTAAGTTTTAGCAGCTAATTATTAGCTATGTAAATCCAAACAGGAACCATGGCAGCATACCTCGCTTACTCATATTTTGCCCTTGTTATACTCCTTCATCTCACTATTCTACTAGCTGAGACCATGATCATCATCATCGGGACAACAAAACCACCGTTTAGTGCTTTGAGTTCAGCAAAATATATTGGGGTAACTTACCGAGTATAATCTTTTTCCTAAAAAAGTGAGTATATATATATAGGTTTTACTTTGTATATACTCCTCCGTTCTAAAATATAAATATCCCTAGTCTAGTTTTGTCCTAGGTCATCAAACTACACTAAGTTTATCATTTTTTTAAGAAAAATAATGATGTTGACTATATCACATATGTAACATTAAATTCATTATGAAATATATTTCCATAGTTTACCTATTGATACAACAGATGTTTGTACTTTTCACTTTTTAGACTTGAGTGAACTTAAAATTTGGCTTACAAAACCAAAATAATGATATTTTAGAATGGAGAGAGAGTTGTTACTTAGCCATCGTCCTATTTTTATCCATGCCTACGTACGCTTAATGGCATATTCCCTTAGTCCCCTAAAGTAAGACTTTATATTATTCAAATTTTAACCCCAAAAAGAAGACATGTTAGAACCGTTTAGCATTGCGGAGGTATTATACGATACTGTTTGACACTATTCATCGATGTTTTAGGAATCATTTAGATCATTTTGCTTCATCACTAATGTATCCTAAATACCATATAGTATCTTTTTCTATGGTACTCCATCCGTTCCACAGTATTTGTCGTTCTAGCGTTTCAAAGATGTCCTAGAAAGAGCGTCATTATAGGCGTGGGTCCCACCTAACAACCATACGACTACATCATCGCGTGTGGCCATCCGCTCGATCGCCCCCTCCCATTATCGGCATCCCTTCCTCATTTTCTCCATTGGCGCTGCCCTCCTCTTGACCCGCACTGACGCCGCCCTCCTCTTCACCTGCATCGACGTCACCCTCCTCTTCACCCGCACCGACGCCGCCCTCCTCTTCTCTTGCACTAGCGGACACCCGGCGCACCCCTTCTCTTCTCCTCCGTCGGTGTGGTGCGGCTAAGGTGGCCGAGATCTGGCGACTCCCTCCTCTTCTCCTCCACCGACGGGGCTACGGGCGACGAGATCCGACGCCTCCTTTCTCCGCTTGTCCTTCGTTGGCGTGGAGACGACACTGCTTGGAGGATAAGATATGGGGTTGAGATGCTCTTCCCTAATTGGCACCCCTCCTCTTCTCCTTCGTTGGTACCCCCTCCCCCTTCTTCTCCTTCATCGACGTGTCCCTAATCCACTACGACCGATGCGGAGGGGACGCGGATGGCGGAGATCCGGCTCGGCCCTCATCCACACTGCTCGGCGTGGAGGGGTCACATGGCGCGGCAGCGGCGATTTGGCGCCGTCCTCATCCATGGCGCCGATGTGGAAGGTGTCGAAGACGTGGATCTTGCTTGCCGCATGGTGAGGGCGACAGCGATGGGACGTCCTCGGTGGAGAAGGCGGAGATGGCCATGGTGTGCGACACAGGGAGTAAGGGTATTTATGTTTTTTTTTCTTCTAGCATTGATACGCGTGAAGACTCCTATAAGGTAAGTTACCGTGGAACAGAGTAATAAGTACTCCTTGTGCAGTTGTGCTACAGGTAGTGTGTAGTACTACACCGTATCGGAGCTGTCCACGGCCAAAGTGGAAAATAATTAATTGGCCCTTGAACACCCAGGTGGCTGTCCATTTCCGAAATAACGCGACAACGACAGGAGTGACCCGCAAAAAAGGCACCCCCGTCCCGTCCTCGCTCCTCCCAAAGCTCTCACATCTCTCACTCCCCCGCCAGCGCAGTGGGCGAGCGAGTGGAGCCAGACGAACCGCCGCCCGCCACTCGCCGGCGCCGAGCACCGCCGTCCACCCGCCGACGGTGAGTCCACGCTCCCTTCTCGATCTCCCGTCCGTCGATCTCGCGTGGGGCGGGCTCGCCAAATTGTAGCTGTAGCAACTCGCCTGGGACCACCGTGCCTTCGCTGAGCTCGACCCGTCTGGGTTCTCACGGGCCGCGCGACACCATCCTCTTCTTGCCTCGCCGTCGCCGTCGCCCTCGTCCTCGCGCCGGACCACCGCCATCCCAGCCTCCGCCAGCGCTCCCGCCGCCCACCGCCACTGCTTCGCCGCCCTCCCTTGGCCCGCCCGACGTGCTGCCCCCGCCCTGACTGCGCCCACCAGCCGCATCCGCCACCCGCGGCCGGCGACGCCCCGCCGCCCCACCCACCCACCGCCGGGGATTGAAGGTCTGGGGGAGAGATCAGCCCCCGGAGCCCAACCGCCCCACCACTAACCCGGCGGCGGGGGGTCCGCGCTGTACCTTCAACGCGCGACGGTACGCGCGTTGGACTTTCTGGTAGCCGAATGTTGGATGCGGCGGCCGAGATCTCACGCCTGGGGGCTCTGTCGGTAGGGGTGAGGTGGAGGAGGGCTTGATGTTTGGCCGTTTCTGTGATCCTGACCGATTCGGTGGACGGTGGTGGGTGTGGGTGTGGGTGTCATTGGCACTGTGCCAGAGTGGAGTGATTTAAGGGAGGAGATGGTTGGGATTCAGGAGGGGGAAGGCACAATTCTACAGGAATTCTATAGCTAGCGAAGGTATATTTGTTTCTTTCCTGAAGGTGTCTGTCGGTGCGGTTTCCCTCATCTAAGGAAATGTACAAGTCTTTTTCCTTGGTTAGTTAGAATGGTACAATCTACAGAACAGAAATACAGAATGGAAGAGTCCATGATAGATGCTGCTCCTGCCTTCTAGCCTCATGAATTTGGGTGAGGGCTCGAGATTGCTGTCTCTCAAGAATTGGGGGGATTGGCTTTGTCATAGTCATAGTGCTCTTGAAGTTAAGGTATATAAGAGGAAGTGTTGCCTGTGGAATCAGTAGCTTGGTTGATGAACGTATAACTACAGATAGTTCAATAAGTCTCATCCACATACCTTCTGTCCCATAACAAATCTAACACTCTACTTGAAAGGACTGTCTTGGAGGAAGCGTTGGGGCTTGTGCTTCTCGTCTCCTTTACTTGTGAGTGCTGCTACATGTGCAAACATTTGAGTACAACTCAAGTGCAAGTCATGATCCAACTGTATCAGATTGTTTGGATGCATGATTATACAATTGCACGTAAAAGTGGTTGCACGTGACTCATTTCCCATGCATGCAATGGTGGGCTTGTTGGTGGCTGTGATACAACATATGATATAAGCCACCAGCCTACCATGGAACCTACCGTGCGTGGAATTTCATTTCATGCCTCCATTTCACATGATTTTTGGTTATCGTGTATGTTTCATGTGTTTGACTACTTTCCCGGTGATCATTTCCTATAAAAGCAACTACATCTCATTGTCAGAACTCAGAAGTGGCGTGCCAGATTTTGTAAAACTTGATGATTTGAGGTTAAAAAGAACCTTTTATTCATGTTTTACATGGACCAAAATTAATGCATTTCTAGTTGAGATTGAAGATCTTGTAGAAGATTTGGATTGAAATTTTTAGCCACAGTCACAAGAGAGTTTGTTGGTTCAATCTTGAATTTTGTAGTATTTCCTTGAACTATGTTTAAGCTATGGTACTACTATCCCCCTTTTTTTTTGAGAGGGTCTACTATCTCCTTTTCGTTTTGCTGTTAGAACTGGATCTGACTGTGCTATGATGCATTAATGCATTATTCCACAGGATCTGTCTGCATGCTTTAAAACGGACATTAATTCATTATTCTCTTGGTAATTGCACGATTAAGTGGGAATGCCTCTTTTCCTTTTGCTTCCTTCTTTCTCCTTTATGTCAATGCAAAAATGACACAGGCTGGTACTATTATTCATTATGCTACTTACTTCCATTTTTATCCTGTAGGAATTATAAAACAATTCAAGGTGTAAATCTGGTATAGATCTAATCATGGCAAATTTCAACTCGTCAGAACCTCGAGACTCTAGAGAACCAACTTCACCCGCACCATCAACATCGTCTTCTATATCAAGGTATAACATATTCCTGTTTTAACCTGTTACTCATTCCCAATGTTTTGAAATAGCTTACTCATATGAGTACGGATTAGCTGACTAGTTGCAGTTTGAAATAAATTTTTTTTGAACATTAACTATAGTATATAACTTGTTACTTATTTGTTGTTCCACAGGGAAAAAGGTGACCTGGCAGAAGTTGATGATCCTGAAAGTGCAATGTCCACTGTTGCTCGATTGTTGGAAGACCTCCATGCTAGCATGGTATCTCCATCAGGGAAGGAAGCTACAACCAGAAGGTTACTTGAACTGGCCAGAGCAAAAAAGGAGGCAAGGATTTTGATAGGTAGCCATTCTCAGGCAATGCCACTACTTATATCTACCCTTAGAGTTGGGTCATCTGCAGCAAAAGTAAATGCTGCAGCTCTACTTAGTGCACTCTGCAAGGAAGAGGACCTGCGTGTGAGGGTCCTCTTAGGAGGCTGTATACCACCCTTAATCTCTCTTTTGAAGTCTGAATCTGCTGAAGCGAAGAAGGCTGCTGCTGAAGCTATTTATGAAGTGTCTTCTGGTGGGCTTTCAGATGATCACATAGGCAGGAAAATATTTGTGACTGAAGGTGTTGTGCCAACTCTGTGGGACTTGCTTAATCCTAGGTCTCGCCAAGATAGAGTTGTTGAGGGCTTTGTGACTGGGGCTTTAAGGAATCTCTGTGGGGACAAAGATGGTTACTGGAAGGCCACACTTGAAGCTGGAGGTGTTGAAATTATTACTGGTCTTCTTTCATCCAAGAATACTGCTTCACAGTCAAATGCTGCCTCTCTATTGGCACGGTTTATCTCTGCTTTTGGTGATAGCATTCCCAAAGTTATAGATGCTGGGGCTGTTAAGGCTCTCCTTCACCTTCTAAACCGAGATAATATCATTTCTGTTCGTGAAAGTGCGGCTGATGCTTTGGAGGCCCTGTCTTCCAAGTCTAGTATTGCAAAGAAAGCTGTGGTGGATGCAGGATGCCTTCCTATTCTGATTGGAGCTGTTGTAGCGCCCTCAAAAGAATGCATGCAGGGTGAGACATGTCATTCTCTACAAAGCCATGCTGTCCGTGCTTTATCAAATATTTGTGGGGAACAACTTCTCTGTTGCTTTACCTTGGTGAGCTCTGCCAAGCACCCCGTCACCTGTTCCCTTGCTGACATTCTTGGAGCACTTGCTTATTCATTGATGGTTTTTGATGGCTGTGATGGTAAATCCTTTGACCCAGTTGAGATTGAAAATACTTTGGTTGTGCTCCTAAAATCTCATGACAGCAAGCTTGATCGTATTCTTGAGGCTTTAGCAAGTCTATATGGGAATGATTGTCTCTCTGACAGGCTTGATCACTCTAATTCTAAGAAGGTTCTTGTTGGGCTGATTACCATGGCTCCTGCTGATGTTCAAGAACATCTTGTTCGGTACCTTAACTAGCTTGTGTTGTGATGGTGTTGGAATATGGGAGGCTCTTGGAAAGAGAGAAGGGTTCAGTTGCTAATATCATTACTTGGGCTTTCCAGTGAGCAGCAGCAGGAATATGCAGTTTCCTTATTGGCTATCTTGAGTGATGAAGTAGATGACAGCAAGTGGGCAATAACAGCTGCTGGAGGTATCCCTCCACTTGTCCAACTACTAGAAACAGGATCTCAAAAAGCAAAGGAGGATGCAGCTTACATCATGTGGAACATGTGCTCTGACAGTGATGATATCAGGGCATGTATTGAGAGTGCTGGGGCTGTTCTGGCACTAATTTGGCTTCTAAAGAGTGGTAGCCCTCGTGGACAAGAGGCATCAGTTAAAGCACTCAAGAAGCTGATACGATCAGCAGATTCTGCTACGATCAATCAGTTACTAGCATTACTGCTCAGTGATTCATTGAGCTCAAAGGCTCATGTCATTACAGTTCTCGGGCATGTCCTTGTGCTGGCGCCTCAGAGAGCTCTTATCCAGAGTGGAGCCCCAGCTAATAAAGGCCTTAGGTCACTAGTTCTTGTTCTTGAATCATCAAATGAAGAAACACAGGAGATTGCTGCAACTGTGTTGGCTGATATTTTCACTATGCGTCAGGATATTTGTGATGTCTTGGCAATTGATGAAATTGTCCAGCCATGCATGAAGCTTTTGACAAGTGGAAACCAAGTGATTGCCACACAATCTGCCAGAGCTTTAGGAGCACTTTCATGTTCAGCTAGTTCCATGTCAAAAAACAAAATGTCTTGCTTAACTGAAGGTGATGTGCGACCTCTTATAGAGATGGCAAAGACATCATCTATTGATGTTGCTGAAACAGCATTTGCTGCATTAGCAAATCTCCTATCAGATGCACAGATTGCTAAAGAAGCGTTAGATGACAACATTGTCTTGGCTTTGACTAGAGTGCTCAAGGAGGGGAGTTTAGAAGGCAAGATTAGTGCGTCATGGTCACTTCGTCAGTTGGTCAACCAGTTTCCCCTCAGTGAAGTTCTCCCAGATTACTCAGAGTGCTGTTTTATAATTCATGCATTGTTGGTATGTCTATCTGGCATCAATTTGGACAATGTTACAAATTTGGAACCCTTGATGTTCTTACATTGATGGCTACAACAAAGGAGGGTTCACATTATAGCCCCCCTCTATGCACTGGTTTTCTTGAATTTCCAGAAAGCTTAGAACCTTTAGTTCGTTGTGTTAGTATTGGGCTTCCACCTGTTCAAGATAAGTCCATTCAAATCCTTGCAAGTCTCTGTCAGGGCCGACCTTCTCTACTTGGTGAATATTTAAACAGAAGTCAAGGATGCATCACTTCTCTTGCTAATAGAGTTATAGAGTCAAATGACATGGAAATAAGAATCAGCAGTGCAGTCATCCTCATATCTGCAATGAGGGACAGCAGAGAACAGTCGATCGATGTTCTTGAAGCACCAAAACTTCTGAAGAATCTGATATCTGCACTCATTGATATGCTGAAGCAACGTTCCTCTTTAACATCCCTAGACATTGAAATTTGGAAACCTTGCACGGAAAAAAGTTTGCTTAGTTATGAGCAGGATGTTTTGAGTGTGCCTGAACTTGGAAAGGTTTCTGAAGAAACTGTTGCACTATGGTTGCTCTCACTGATTTGTTCTCATCATGGAAGGAGTAAATATACTGTTATGGAGCTCAATGGCGTTGATGCAGTATCTGATAGACTTGCTAGCTATACTGCTAACCGACAGGTGCATGTTTCACATTTATTTATTTTTTCTGTTTTCATAGGACTCACTCTATCTGAGTAACTTGTTGCTAAATTCGAGATATTTTCTGCTTCAAACTGCTGTACTGCTGTATTGAGTAATCAGATGTACTGGTAATGTGAAAATCTTATATCCATTTCGAATTGTCATCGTGACTAGCATGCAAACAGTATTAGGTCTAAGTTTTCCTGTATTTTTACATCCTCGTTTTGAGTAATGCTGGATAAGAAAGATAGGTCACTTCATATGTCCATCCACTTTCCATGTTTTTAACTCAAGTCTAAAGGACTTCTTTACTCTGAATTGGTTCCTGTAACAGGCTGCTTGTTGATCAATTTTAGGTGACCTGCTGACAAGTAACACCACCATATATGGTGTCACTAGTCTTTCATGTTACATATTAAAAAGAAAACCAATGGCCATTTTAGACTAATGACGACTTTTAAATTTTGGACTATTGGTTATTAAAACATTTAGTTGACAAATTCTAGTAAAGAGTTGAAATGATTTCTCCATGCTGCTTATGATTCCACCCAAAGTTCCTGTATACATAAAAAATCATCATGCTAAGTTCCTACCTAGAAACAGAAGTCCACTCATACACCCACAGATAAAAAGTTATATTTTGCAAGATGAGAGCATTTGGTTGGTCTGCCTGTCTGTTTCATTTTCATATGCCAACTTGCATAGTAAAACGCTAGGCTCCAGATTTGCACCCTTTGTTCTTGGTAACTCCATTGCTTAGATACCAGATGCAGATGTGTATATAAATATTATTAGACATACTAGTTTTACTATTCAATTGGTGCTGACTGCTGAGAACAGAACAAGCAAGGGCGGTCTACTTACCATAGCTGAATTGTTCTACATTCCATAGATCAGATAACTTTCATTCTTTGTTGCATTACTTGTCTTTTTCCATATTTTACTGTTTCTACTGCTATGCCTGTTTCCAAGCTGTAATAGCTGCTCCATGTTACAGGAACAGTATGAAGACTCAGAAAATATATGGACTTGCGCCCTTCTGTTGGCTACTCTGTTTCAGGATTCAGTGGTTGTTCAATCTTCTGAAATAACACGAACAATACCTTCTTTAGCATCCTTGCTAAAATCTGATGATATCATCGGTAAATACTTTGCTGCTCAAGCACTGGCTAGCCTTGTTTCCACTGGGAGCAGAGGTATACAGCTTGCTATTGCAAATTCTGGTGCAGTTTTAGGTGCTGTAGCATTGATCGGACAGGTAGAATCTGATATGCCAAACCTTGTTACAATGGCTAGAGAATTCAAGTTGGCAGACAATCCAAGTCAAATAATATTGAGAAGCCTTTTTTGAGCTTGAAGATGTCTGCACTGGTGCTTCTGCTCAAGGTCCATACCCTTGCTAGTGGATCTACTTAAACCAATGCCAGACAGGCCAGGTGCACCTCTGATTGCTTTGCACCTTCTGACTCAACTAGCGGAAGGTAGTGAGGCAAATAAAGTTGCTATGGCAGAGGCTGGAGCTTTAGATGCCTTGACTAAGTATCTATCTTTAAGCCCTCAAGACTCAACTGAAACTACTATAACCAATTTGCTAGGGATTTTATACAGTAATCCTGATCTTCTTTACCATGAATCATCACGCAGCACTTCAAATCAGCTGGTAGCTGTCTTACGTTTGGGCTCGAGAAGTTCTAGGCTTAGTGCAGTAAGGACGTTGCAGAAACTCTTTGATGCAGAGAATATAAGGGACACCGAAGTGGCCCGGCAAGCTATTCAACCATTACTTGACATGCTTGGGTCAGGAACTGAAATAGAACAGCAGGCAACACTTGGTGCACTTATCAAGCTTTCTGCTGGGACTATCTCTAAGGATTCTTCTATGTTTGATGTAGTAGGGAACACAATTGAAAATCTTTACAAAATTTTATCCTTCAGTTCGTCACTGGAGCTTAAAAAAGATGCTGCTCAACTCTGCTATATTTTATTTGAGAACTCAACTGTACGTGCATCACCAATTGCAACAGAATGTCTTCAACCCCTGATATCACTGATGACATCAGGATCTAGTTTGGCTATCGAACCAGCAGTTTGTGCTCTAAACAGATTACTGGATGATGATTACAATGCAGAGGTTGCTGCAACTAGTGAAGTTATTGATCTTCTTGTCAGTTTTGTTCCTGGTACAAACTATCAGTTGTCTGAAGCATGTATTGGTGCTCTCATAAAGTTGGGCAAGGACCGTCCAAACTGCAAGCTTGACATGGTTAAAGCTGGTATCATTGAGCATGCACTTGATATGATTCTTGATGTTCCTGTATCTGTTAGTTCATCCATTGCTGAATTGCTTCGCATTTTGACAAACAACAGTGGCATTGCTAAAAGTTCTGCTGCTGCAAAAATGGTGGAGCCACTTTTCTTGCTTTTACGTCGCCCTGATGTTACTATGTGGGACCAGCACAGTGCCTTGCAAGCACTTGTGAATATTCTGGAGAAACCTCAGAGTCTAGCAGCATTGAAGTTGACTCCCAGTCAAATAATTGAGCCTTTAATATCATTTCTTGAATCTCCCTCTCAAGCAATTCAGCAACTTGGCACAGAGGTGCTCTCACATCTTCTAGAACAGGAACATTTTCAACAGGATATCACCACCAAAAATGCAGTTGTTCCTCTGGTGCAGCTTGCTGGTATTGGAATCTTGAGCTTACAACAAACTGCAGTTAAAGCACTTGAAAACATCTCACAGAGTTGGCCCAAGGCAGTAGCCGATGCAGGTGGAATTTTTTGAACTTTCAAAGGTAATTGTCCAGGATGATCCTCAGCCAAGTCAAGCATTATGGGAATCTGCAGCACTTGTGTTATGCAATGTTTTGCGTTATAATTCTGACAACTATGTCAAAGTCTCAATGGCTGTACTTGTGAGATTGCTGAACTCCACCATGGAGAGTACCGTCACGATAGCTCTCAGTGCTCTACTTGTTCAAGAGAAAAGTAGCTCACGCCGTGCTGTGGCCATGGCTGAGGCTGGGGCAGTACGTGCACTCTTGGAGCTCCTGAAGAGCCATCGATGTGAGGAATCTGCAGCAAGATTGCTTGAAGCGCTGATAAACAATTCAAGGGTCCGTGAAACAAAAGTTGCCAAGTATGCTATTGCTCCTCTCTCACAGTACCTGTTAGACCCTCAGTCTAAGAACCAGTTAGCAAAGTTTCTGGTGACTCTTGCACTAGGTGACATTTTCCAGCATGAAGCACTTGCTAGGGCAAGTGACTCTGTGTCTGCCTGCCGTGCTCTTGTAAGCCTTCTTGAGGACCAGCCTACGGATGACATGACAACAGTTGCTATTTGTGCACTGCAAAGCTTAGTGATGCACAGCAGGACAAACAGGCGCGCTGTTGCTGAAGCTGGGGGCATTTTGGTTGTGCAAGAATTGCTTCTTTCACCAAATGTGGATATTTCAGGACAGGCTGCTCTTCTAATCAAGTACCTATTTTCAAATCATACACTGCAAGAATACGTGTCGAATGAGCTTATCAGATCTCTCACTGGTGAGTCAGCAATCTTTATGGCGAACTGTGTCCATGATATTTTATTTCAAATGTGTATTTCTTCATGTTCATGAGTGAGGTCTCATGCCCTTCTATTTTGAAAGTTAAATGGTTTTTCATTTGCCATTTTGACTTTGATACTATAGACATGAATATCTAATAAAAACAGATGCATTAAGTTATGAATGATTAAATTGCAAATGCTTTATGGTGCTATAATGCTTACTGATGGATTGAGTTGATTATTCTCTAATGTCAAATGCAATTTGTTGCAGCTGCCTTAGAGAGAGAGCTGCTGTCTACGTCAACCATCAATGAAATTATTCTGAAGTCCATATATGTGATATTCAGCAACTTCAAAAAGGTACGGTTTTCTGAGGCGGCAACCTTGTGCATACCACACCTGGTTTGTGCTTTGAAGGATGGAAATGAGGCTGCCCAGGAGAGTGTGCTTGACACCCTTTGCTTGCTTAAAGAATCTTGGCCACAAATGAATGAAGACATCGCTAAAGCCCAATCCCTGATTTCAGCTGAGGCCATACCTGTACTACAAATGCTTATGAAGACATGTCCTCCCAGTTTTCATGAGAGAGCTGATAGTTTGCTGCATTGCTTGCCTGGTTGCTTGACAGTGACCATCATTCGTGGGAATAATTTGAAACAGACAATGGGGGGTACAAATGCATTTTGTTGCCTGCAAATAGGAAATGGTCCTCCAAGGCAAACTAAGGTAATTCTTGTAGATAATTCTACTCAATATAATTCATTTGTGGTGCAGTTGGTTCTTTTCCTCTGAAACCCAGTATTGCCAGCTGCTGTACCTTGCAAGACTGGGATTGCCGCTCTGCTGCATGTTGTATTTTATTTAGTTAACATCTTTTTAGCCTCTGGCTACTGATGTTTGTGTTGAACGTCAGGTGGTAAACCACAGCATCTGCCCAGCTTGGAACGAGGGTTTCACCTGGTTATTTGACGTCGCCCCTAAAGGGCAGAAGCTCTACATCATATGCAAAAGCAAAAATACATTTGGAAAGGTATGGTCATAACTCATAAGGATGGTGTCTTCTTCTCTTGGTTCTTGGCTTCTTGCCTGTGATTCTTTTGTGTGATTTCTCAAATGTTGATATTTTCCATTGCAGTCAACGCTCGGAAGAGTCACCATCCAGATCGACAAGGTTGTCACCGAGGGTGTATACAGCGGGTTCTTCAGCCTCAGCCACGACGGCGGTAAGGACGGCTCAAGAACCCTAGAAATAGAAATCGTATGGTCGAATAGGCCATCCAACGACAACAGTATGTAGCATATGGCTGATTTACCTGACGCCAACCTTATACTCCTGGCTTCCATGTAAATCAGCCCCCCCATAATCATCCAAATTCATTTATTTATATATGTAGAAAAGTTAAAGACTTAAGACGCTTAGATAACCCGCGCCATCATTCAATTATTGAGGTCGTCTCGGGATTGTTAGCCTTGCTGCTGTAACAGGTTTTGGACCCAGGTAAATTTTTTTGTACAGGTGAATTTATTTAATGTAATTATATCTTAGTGTTAGATTGGTGTGAGTACGGACAAACACTACTGACAGTAACATTCTGTGTGATGTGTGGCGTGATATTTGTTCCCGTGGGTGTGTGTTTTCCGTTGTTCGCACTTGTAGCCTCAATTGAGCCCTACCGTTTTCAGCGGGAAAATTAGGCGAGTCAATTGCATTGATTTTTTAATTCACAGCTGATTTTGGGAGGTAATTGAATTGTTTTTAGTTTCTACCCTTGGGGACAGATGTTATGCGCATCGTTTCAGCTCTAGCTTTTGTTCCCGTCATGGCTCGGCCGCTCAGGCCATATGCCGTCAGATGTGTTGTGGCGCTTGTTAATACGTTGTTTATGCTTCTCGTGTGGCCCTACCTGACTCGTCTGTACTGGCATGTTGGGTTTGCTTTCTCGTTGTCATGCAAACGTACTCTCCGTGGGGCGGATACCATAGCTTAGCTTGGCACTGTTCTCTTTGCCAGGCATGTTTAAGTAGCGTGTTTGGTTCTGGCTACTCCAAACTTTACATCCAGTTTATTTCACATGCCATCATAGCCACTACTAGCGGTATGAGGATGTTGCAGTACTTTTTTTTCATTGGCAGAAGTTTAAGTTAGTTTGGCGAGATTCTCTCACGTTTTTTTTTGGGAACTATTCTCTCACGTTAATTGGTAACATCACTATGCATGCAAACCAAACATGCCACATGCCAGTACGTACTGCTGGTAGCAGCAGCCTGGAGCAATGTTTCAACAGTCACACATGCTGACGCATTTGAATGGCGCTACTGTAGTAGTCGGTACTTGTTGGCCAAACATAGAGAAGGTCGCAGAGTGTGCCGTGCCTGACGAAACTTGAGCGTGCAGGTAGTACGTACCAGCCAAGCACAAGTGATGCAGCCAGCAGGAAATGAAATTATTGGTGCACAGGGCAGGACATGTAGGAGTACCATGCATGGTTGGTTACCAGCGTCGGCAGGTCTCACTCACAGCACATGAGCACTCTGGGCGATCATCGGGCCACCATGGGAGGAGTACGACGATGCTCCGGCGACTTGACTCCGCCGCTCGCTGGGGTGCGCGCGGTAGAGTGTGCAGGAGTACTAGTACTCCATTCTTGTTGCTCTTGTCCGGTGCTCATCGCGACTTGACTCCACAGCTAGCACAGATGTGCGCGCCTGTGTGTGCAATGCCAGTTTGACACTTCCTTCTTCCTCGTACGGCGGCGCTATAGCAGCCACAAAATTCATCAAGCTCTACCTCTCGTGGCCGAACCGAGCTCAGGCTCGTCATCTCCTAGGCCCGTGGCCCGGCCCCTCCCCTGTCCCACTCTCCCCGAGCAACACCCGCAGTCCCGCACCACCTTCGGACCTTCCCCTGATCCCCTCCACTGGGATCGCTCCTGTCCTTCTTTTTCCACGCACCCTCGACACGACAAGCTCAATCCGCACTCACCAGTGGATTCTTGGCACAGCGGCGTCTCCCGCGCTCACCGTAGCTCGGGGCCGCCGCCGCCGCCGCTCGACGCCTCCAGCCGCGCGCCACCACCGTTTTCCGTCGTCAAGAACACGAACAGTTGAAGAGTTCGCCGGATCCGCCTCGACTTCCGCCGCCACAGGCAGATGCTGCTCGGCCACCGGAGGGCCATTCCACCTTAAGCCCGGGCCCGGCGATTAATTCCAGCTCAAACTCGCAAGAGAGAGAGCGAGCGACAACCATACCGTACCCATGGAGGCCACCGCGCTGAGCATCGGCAAGTCCGTTCTGAGTGGAGCGCTTGGCAACGCCAAATCCGCCTTGGCGGAGGAGGTGGCCTTGCAGCTGGGCGTTCATCAGGGACAAGCTAGAGATGATGCTGTCTTTCCTGATGGCGGCGCACGAGGAGCGGCGAGACAGCAAGCACATGGACATGGTGATCGAGACCTGGGTGAAGTAGGTCCGCGTCGTCGCCTACGACGTCGAGGACTCGCTCATGGACTTTGCGGTTCGTGTGCACAGGCACAAGCAATCTTGGTGTCGGCTGCTGCCATGGCGCATCCCACGCATGATGCGTGACAGGCGCCATGTGGCGAAGCAGATGAAGCTTCTCAGGGCCAAGGTAGAGGATGTGAGCCACAGGAAAAGGCGCTACCGCCTCAACGAAGGCGGCGGATCGTCTAGCTCCAATACTGCCGCTAGTAGTGCTGGTGACACTGCTGCTGCCTCTGCAGCAGCTGTCATGTTTGGTTTTGGTATCAACGAAGCAAGGTGATATGCTGCCAAGACGAAGGGCCAGCCAAGAAATGCTTCCCAATCAACAAGAAAGGGAACAGAATCCTAGTGTCCACAACGGATGTTGAGGTTGCAAGCTTATGTGTGGGCCAAAACAGTGTGGTGTCAGAGCTCAAACAATTGTCTGCTGATCAGATCATCTATGCTTTCTACAAGGAGGTAATTTTAAACTTTCAGACAAGTTCTGCAGACATCTTATATGTTAGCAGGCAACATGCATGATATTTTGACTTCTAATGTTACTTTTCTTTTCTTTTTCTTTTTCTTCTTCTTCTTCTTCTTCTGTTGTGCAACAAACTAGCAGCCCACTGCCACACCGTCTGTGTTAAGCACTGAGTTGGATTGTGAAAGCCCGAAAGGACATTAGGTCCACGATTCATTGCGACCCCTAATCATCATTGGTTGAGGGGATTTAGACACTTCTTAGCATTGGTACTGAAGTCATTTGTTCTTAAGATAAAAAGTGACAAAAAAGTTTATGTATTGCATAGTTTCAAAAAATGTACCAACTAATAGATTCAACCACTACTGCACAAAACCATGTAGCAAGCATGGGTAGAGATTTGACAAAAATATAAGGATAAATGAAAGTTCAGGCAAGAAAACATCAACGATATGATCAGAAGTAAAAAATATAACAAGTTGGGTAAGTGCTTCTATATCGACATTATGCAAGTACACAAATTTTCCCTATAAATGGCATAGTATGTTTCCAAATAATTTTTTTATTGGTTAAAGAAAACTAAAGATTGTAGATTACAAGTTTTGTTCAAGATTATCATGTAATTATAGATTAATACTATCATCTAATTGCTTACATGATATGTGGCTGAAGATTTTTCATTTGCCTTTTACAGAGCTCTCAAGACATAGCACATTCGGCAGAGTCAACATCAACCTCAATGCTGCCCACATCTGAGATTCAAGAGGACCAACACAAGGATACTGATGGAAAGATGATGGTTGAAAACATGACAGCAGGGGTTTTGGAGGAATCTCAGCTCGCTGGGTGAGAGAGAGAAAAAGAACTTACTGCTAACCTAATTTTAAATCACTCTGACAATCTTGAGGTGATTGCAGTGTGGGGAATGGATGGTATTGGAAAGACCACTCTAGTTACAGATGTTTACGAAAGAATAAAGCTCAATGACAAGTTTACAAAGCATGCTTTTGTGACCCTGTTTCGCCCTTTCAAGCTTCAGGAGCTTCTTAGGAGTATAGCTATCCAGCTAGATGCAGAGTCATCCGGAAAGAAGGGTGTGATGGATTTTGTTCGTGACAACAAAAAAGATTATGCATCGATGTCTGCAGAAGATTTGACTGATGCATTGGACCGGCTTTCAGAGAATAGAAAGTGTCTGATTGTTGTCGACGACCTATTATATACCCCAGAATGGGATACAATAATAAAAGAATTCTATAAAATTAAAAAGGCAAAAAGCTGGACCATAGTGATCACCACAAGGCAAAAGATATTGCTGAGCATTGTTGCAAGAAACTGGAATGTATACACAAGCTCAACATTCTAGGAGCTGAGGAAGCTCGTGAACTCTTCATAAAAACGGTACTGAAAAATACTCATATTCAGTTTATTTAATTTCATATGATGCCTTGTATAAGAACAACTCTACTGAAACTGGCTTTGAAAAGAGATTCATTAGAGTATTTTGTGGGAAAAATATGAAAAGGGGATAGACTTATACCTGCTGTACATGCTTATAGGAGGTGTGATAATCCACTTCAATATAAAAGGTCATTCCAAATGGTTTGAAACTGTCTGATTTGATACGCCAGTGATACTACAAGATGAAGGCAGATTTTTTTATTCGCAATTGCACCTTACAATATAAAAAAACCTAACACACTAGTGGACAAGGCTCCTTAGCTTGAAGGGTAGTAAAATAAAGCACTCGCTAACCAGAATCTGTCCATTTTATTTTCCATTTCCCCTCTCGACACCGTTGAGGCATTTTTCTGGGTGTTCACCTATTTTTGATGTATTTTCTATCATGATTTGCTTTAAGATAGAAAATTATATTGCTCCAAAATAAAGTTGGTGATGCTCCAGAATCCTTCAAGAATTTTCATGCATAGCAGTGGCTTGCATTGCCGCATATGTTACCATACAAACCATTGCCGTGTTCATTATTAACTTCAGATTAGTTTCAAACCACATATCAAAAGTGTCCTAGTCATACTAACAAACAAGTTGGACTTCTTTATAATCTAATTTGATGCAATGGACATTTTGTACTGCACCAATTTCAGGTATTCAAGAAGACAATAGATTTGAACAAGGAATATCATGAGTTGGTTGAACCAGCAAAATCGATCCTAAACAAGCGCGATGGACTTCCCCTTGCAATAGTCACCATAGGAAGCTTCTTGGGAAAGCAAATTCATCACAACCTTGGATGGAATGTTGACAAGAAATTCACTGCCAGAGATACGTTTAACACCCCAGTCCCACCCGAATCCACCAAATACTGTAATTCAGTTTTAATTCTTGCCTTGGTACCTCTACCTTCTAACACTGGCACCAGAGCTCTAATGGGTGCCTCAACATCAGCTTTCCCTCTTATTTGGTCTCAGATAGATCAAGTGCATAGAAAATCTGGCCCGGCATACCATACCCACACAGCCGTAGGCCCTTGTTGGATCTCATCAGGGGGCATTGCGCAAATTTGTGACCATAATCTCTACGACTATAGCAAAACGGAGGCTTCGTGCATGTGGAATGATGGTGACCATAATCATTGAAGTTGAAACACTTCATGGGAAGGCCCGAGTACTGACCTGAGCTTGAGTCCCAGTTCTGCTGTTGGTTGTAGCCCTTCCTGCGGTCTTCGATCTTGTGTTGCAGATCTTCTTCTGTCATTTGCCGCACTTCTTGCGCATCCCCAGTTCGCTTGCGCCCCTAATATTCTCTAGGATCCTGATCTCTCAACGGTGGACGACTCGGCCTCAGATCTCTATCCCCATACTCCTGAAACTCACGAACTCCGTGACCTTCACGGCCTTGTGGCGCATCTCGGCGTGGTTTCCTTTTTCGGCCGAAATCGGTTCATATTTCCCATATATCTTTTTTATTCATAGTTGTTGGTAAGAAAATATCTATTTTCTTTTACAAAATTTATTTAAATTTACTTAAATTTAAATTAATTTTTATTTGAATTTGGTCTGATATTTCTAATATATCATGTTTATCCTTTTTATCTGTAACTCTCGATAAATTTTAATTTCCGAAAATAAAAACCTTACATCTCGGACTTCCCCGCGTGGTCCCTGGAAGCCCTCACGATCATCACGCCTCTCTCTGAAGCGATCCCCCTCACAGTCGTCGCGGTACCGATCCGCACCTCTGTTGTCTCGCCCCTGGTGTGGTTTGCGCTCCATGTTGGGTTTGGCTACCGCAGCTCTCGTCAGTTTTGGAGGGTTGGACGTGATGGTGATGCTTAGGGCGCGTTTAGATGGCGAAATTTTTTGGTTTTAGCTACTGTAGCACTTTCGTTTGTATTTGGCAATTAGTGTCTAATTATGGACTAAATAGGTTCGAAAGTTTCGTGTCGCGATTTCTCATCCAACTGTGTAATTAGTTTTTTTTTCGTCTATATTTAGTACTCTATGCATATGACGCAAGATTCGATATGACACTTTGGGGTGAAAATTTTTGAAATCTAAACAGGGCCTCAGCTGTCGCACCGAATCATTTGATGTCATGCTCGCTCGTCGAGAAATGCTCCGCCGTCGGGTCCCAAACTCTAGCGGCGGCGACCTGCACTCCAATGGGTGGGAGCGGGGTTTGGTTCCAGATATCTATCTGGTGAGGGAGTAAAGGAATGGGAAAAGAGGTCCTCAATGGATGGGCCGTGTCGGGCGGCCCAACATCCTTTCCCTTCTCAGCCCGTGACAACTTCTACCCCATTTCATGGAGCTTTTGCCGTCGTCATCATCAATGGCGGATCCGAAATCGGGGAACTGAACTCATTAGAGCAGAATCAGACCTCGAATCGTGCCCTTCACTCTTCCTTTACTCGCGTCTCGGACGCCTGCTTGATGGCCCTTGCTTTGGGGTGACAACAGCGAATGGCGGAGTTGCAAGCGTGAGCCTGCATGTTCCCATTCCGAGCTCTCTTCACGGCAGAGAAGTGGGTCAAACGATGGAGCGCCTCCGCCCAATCACTCGCTCCTACTTTTGCCATGAGATCACCGGAGATGAGGACGAGCGCCGGGGAGGAGGGGTGACGGGGAGGAGGGAGCGGGTCGAGCTCTTGGGTTTAAATCGTCAACACTAGCTAGGTTTTGCCTACTTTCCCAGCTTTTTCATATTGCTTTATCTTTTAAGTCAATCTTTTTAACTTTAATCAAGTTTATAAAAAATACACAAATATCTACAATACCGAATTAGTTCCATAGATTTTTCAACAAAATATATTTTGGACATTTTATTTGGATTTGTAGGTGCTAATATTATTTTCTATATAAACCTTGGTCAAGTTAGCAATCAATCTTAGAAATGCCGTCAAAAAGCAACTCCAAACCTGGCTTCACTACAAAAATCTCTATTGGAGGAATCGGTACACAGTCAACAGAATAAAACTAGGAGATGAATGCACCAAGTTTTTCCATGGTATGGCAACCATCTCTTACAGAAGGAATGCCATCTCCCAGATTATGAACGATCAAGGAGTTTGGATTCAGGATCATGCAGGAAAGGCAGGGCTCTTGTGGACTGCATTCAGAATCCGCATGGGGACAACATCTGAACCGGTCATGCTTTTCGATCTAACAAGTCTGATCACGCAGATTGACGGCCTGAATGTGCTCACTATGCCAATTTGTCATGAGGAGATTGACATGGTGATCAAGCATATGCCCAATGACAAGGCGCCGGGACCGGATGGTTTCAACGGGCTTTTCCTGAAAAAATGTTGGCAGCTAGTTAAGAGCGATTTCTATTCGCTATGTGCAGACTTCTATGCTGCAAGGATCAATTTAGAGTCTATCAACACCTCTTACATCACATTGGTACCCAAGAAAGACAGCCCAGAAACGGTTAATGACTTTCGGCCCATATCACTCATGAACATTTCGCTCAAAATAATAACCAAGATACTGGCAGACAGATTGCAAGCAGTTATTTTACGAATTGTTCATAGCAATCAGTACGGTTTTATCCGTTCCCGCACGATACAGGATTGTTTAGCTTGGAGTTATGAATATATACATCAGTGTCACCAGTCAAGGAGGGAAATAATCATTTTGAAACTTGACTTCGAGAAAGCATTCGACACAGTGGAGCATTCAGCCATCATTCAGGTTATGTCACATATGGGCTTCCCCGAGAAATGGCTAGCTTGGATCCAAGCAATTCTATCTTCTGGTTCTTCTGCAGTCTTGCTTAACGGGGTCCCAGGAAAAATTTTCAAATGTAAAAGGGGAGTTCGACAAGGGGATCCACTATCCCCTCTCTTATTTGTTCTTGCAGCTGAACTACTACAGATTCTTGTCAACCAAGCAATGGAGATAGGCTTGCTCAGATTGCCAATACCTCAGTCGATGAGTGAGTTTCCCATTGTCCAATATGCTGATGACACATTGATGCTTCTCCAAGCTGATGCTAGGCAGTTGTTCTTCTTAAAATCACTCCTGCACAGCTTCTCCATTTCGACTGGACTACAGGTGAACTACAGAAAATCACACATGTACTCCATCAATATCTCACAGACAAACTAGCTCTCGCTTGCAACACATTTGGTCGTGATGTTGGCTCAATGCCATTTACATACCAGGGACTGCCAATGGGTACAACAAAGCCACGTATGGAAGACCTTACCCCAATGATGGACATAGTTGAAAGAAGATTATCGGCATGCTCCACCGGTTGTCATACTCCGGCGACTTGAAATGGTAAATTCAGCCATCACCCCTATCACCACCTATGCCATGTGCACCATCAAGCTCCCAAAAGGTGTGATCGACAACATTGACAGAGCTGAAAGCAATGCCTCAAGCGTGGAAATGATGCAGAGAAGAAAGGAGGAAATTTAGTTGCTTGGCCAGTGGGTCATGAGACCCAAAGAAAAGGGGGATTAGGTGTCCCAACCTCCGCCTCTCTGAACGATCGTTGCTCCTAAAACACCTAAGCAAATTCTACAATAAAGCGTACATACCACAGGTGCGATTGTCCAGTACAAGTACTACACTTCTAAAGTACCTCATGCTCATGAGAGAAATTGGCTCTTTTTGGTGGAAGGATGTCCTTCGCTCAACACTATCTTTAGGCAAATTTCCGGTGTGAGTTGGGCAATGGTTCCTCGATGCTTACGGGATGATCTTTGGGCAGATTCAATTCTATCCCAAATGTATCCACGCCTTGCTTTCGCTTGCCGTGAATGATGATGCCTCATCATGGAAATTATGCAAGCTGAAGACCTTGATAGTATTTTTTCCTGCCTCTGTCACAGCAAGCTCTTCAGGAGCTAGAAGATCTCCAGGCTCAATTACAGGTGCTGCCATATAATGAAGA